TAGTCAATGTATATTTTACTTAACATGCAACTGACAAGGAGGGCTATGACTAACCTAAACCTTTCACTAAGATATTACATGTTCTTTAATCTCAACATATGTCGTAAGAACTTTTAATTTGAAACATTCACATTCCTTTCGAGTTAGGCTTCATTAACTAAATTTATTTGCAACAAAAATGAATGAATTTTTAGAATCGATATGGATTAAAATAAATACTATGTTTTAACAAGTGATTCAAACTTCACATGGATAAGGATTTACAAAATTATATTCATAACATTTCAATGTTAGAATTAAGGTAGTCTAATCAGAATAACATACAATATTAGAGAATCATATCATGTAATAACATATCACTGATGGTATGTATCCAATAGATATAATCAGAACAATATACATTCTTGTGAAATTAGCCATAAAATAACTCATTGTTAACATATACTATCTTTATAAGAACCATACTTTATTTAATAGTATCTAATATTTTTTAATACAACCTATTTGTTACAGGTTAACAAGAGCATTTTTAAACAAAAGTATGGTAAAATGCATCTCTAACAATTTGTGTTTAAAGAAAATTACATATTTTAACAAAACTAAGATAAATTTAATAAATTAGTCAATATTAAATTATTTTACTCCAATTCTAACTCATATTTTGGAAGTATACTCATTCTTAAAGAGGAGTTTATTTATGGGAAGGAGGGGGTGATACATCAGAATTTTTATTCATTCAGGACTTTCATCAAATAGGTAGAATGCATGTATAGTTTAAGAAAATTTTCTCAAGAACAATAATTGATTTCAATCAATCAATATGATGTTTGATTGTTGAAATCACAAATCATACATATATGAAATGGAGAAATCACTAGTAGCTTGGTAATTCAACCAGTTCATGTTACAAGGTTAACAATTGAACTTGTTACATGCAAGTAACAATGAAAGCGATGAAAACTCAAGGAAGAAACTCAAACTTTGATCAATTGATGAAATCGTGATTTAGAATACAATCACAGTTTGAAAGGTCGTTAGCAATTGTTGAAGATACTGAACACTTGAAACTCTACCTCGGATGAAATCGGTCATCACAGAGCTAAAATCAGTAACAATCTTGTAATTAATTGTTGGTGTCGATAGATGAACATAAACCTCAATCACTCAAATTATCAATTGTAGATGCAGAAGAATGAAGAACATGAACTCGTGAAACACATAAATCGTGACTTTAAAAGTATTATTTTAGCATTGTTTGATCAATATCCAACTCAAACTAATTATCGGTTGAAAGAATAGATGATTTAAGGAGATAGAAGACCGATCAGATTGAATTGAAGAACAGGAATGTTGATCCAGCGAATATCTTGGTAGAAGAATCAAAGCAGATGATTTCTTGATGACGTGAAGATAATCTAACATTATATCAGATCTGATCATATTAAACTTTACCTAGGGACTAATCACCCTCATTAACTAATCAATTAGATTAATTAGGGTTAATCACGTTTTTTTTTATGAGCCACAAGATCAGTTTTGATCAAAGGCCAAGATTTAGTCTCCATGTCTCACAAAATATAAGTGGTCTCAAATGAACCTCTACCTCTACCTATATAATATATATATATATAATATATATATTATATATATATATATATATATATATTATATATATATATATATATATATATATATATATATATATATGAAAGTTTAGAAGGATATATAGACACAATTCTTCCTAAAATCAATGTCATGAAATAGTTGATGGTTGAGTTTATCTTAGTTTTATATATTAATGTTGGAAAATGGTTGAAGGCTATAGAAGACCTAAAACATTCATTTTATAAATAATCGATCAACAACAGAGTTTGTTAACATGCTGCAATTTTTTTTTTTTTGTGTGTCCTTAGGTGTTATAGTGTTTATTAATTAATGTTAATGTGAACATATGTACCATTGCGCTTTAACCCCTACACATTAAGTATGAGACTGAATGTAGTAAAAATATAAATATGTCTCTTTTGGTAGGATCTCACAATTATGATTTTGTAAATTACATGAAAATAATCGTATATAAGATCCCAACATTGACAAACTTAATGTTAAACCTTCAAAGTTTATATATATATATATATATATATATTATATATATATATAATATATTATATATATATATATATATATATATGTTCTCATCCCAAACAAATAAACATATGCAAAAATTTTTAGTCACTTTATGTCACTTTTTTTAAATTTATAGCCTAACTAACACTATTGATAACCTATTCCAATGTGCTAAAAGATCTATATACTTACAAGCTAGAAATACGAAAATCTAATAAACCAAAATTAAAAATTCTCCATCTTGAACGAACCTATAGATGATTAGTTCGAAATTGATATCCCTCAGCGTGGACACTTTCTAGTGCCATTTGTCCAAACAAATACGGTGACTTAGCTTCACTGTAGTATCGTCATTACAAATCTTCGTTGTGGCCCTCCCAAGAGCTTGAAGAACATCCTCCTTGGTCACAAAATCACCACCTAATTAACAACATACCCAAACATACTCAAGACATTGCCATGTCTAAACACTTAAGTAAATGTTAAGTTTAGCACAAACCTCTACGACCTGCAAGCATTACAGCCTCATGAGCTATATTTTCAAGATCAGCCCCAACTAACCCCGACGTACGTGAAGCAACAAGGTCACAAATGACTTGTTTGTCCTCCTTGCCCATGGGCACCTTTTGTAAATATAAAGAAAAAATCTTTCTTCTTCCATCTTCATCCGGTTTACCCACAACCACTTTCCTGGAAAACCGACCCGGTCTAATCAAGGCAGAATCCAGCAACTCTGGTCTGTTAGTAGCCGCTATAACCACCACAGTTGCACCCTTCTCAAATCCATCCATCTCAGTCAAAAGCTAACACATCAAGCACCACATTTTATGTCAACTATTTCCTTGTTTAACTTTGACAATGAACATTAAATTAAAATAATATTTACCTGGTTTAAAGTTTGATCACGTTCACTATTGAAAGATATTCCACGATGCCCTCCAACAGCATCTATCTCATCAATGAAAATAATAGACGGTGAACGTTTTCTGGCATCGCTGAAAAGATTTCGAACACGGGCAGCCCCGTTACCAACAAAAATCTCGACAAATTCACTAGCAGACATCGAGAAAAACGCCACGCCAGCTTCTCCGGCCACTGCACGGGCCAACAATGTTTTTCCGGTTCCCGGGGGACCCGCAAGCAGAACCCCACGTGGTAATTTTGCCCCAAGTTTCATATATTTACTATCTCCTTTAATGCATGAGACAATCTACAAAAGTTCAATAACAAGCATGCAGGATTTATAATCTTTCTTTCATCATATATCCCAAGTCAAAATAAGCAAGGGGGACAAATTAGTAAATTACCTCGAGAAGTTCAGCCTTGGCAGCATCAACTCCTTCCACATCATTGAAAGTTACGCATTGTTTCTTACTCGGATTTCTATCTTTTCTTTTTCCAAAAAATTTCCAACTTTGAAGGTAATACCATGAGTGCCAGATACGCAACAAGGTAGGGGCAAAATCTGACATTTGAAGCCAGAATCTTTTTATTAATTTTTTTATTGATTTGAATGAAAGCTGCTGTGTCAATGGGCAGGCGAAGAAGGCACCAAAAAATATATCCTTCATTGCTCTGGATAAATGCTCAGGGTCAACTACCCAACGCGATGCCTCTTGTTTTGGTAGGACAAATGCTACAAGTACACAAAAAGAAGCTCCGATTACAACCATGAATATCTTTCGACTCAATTTGCCATCAGACATCCTTGTTATTGTTTTATGAACTTTTCTTTTTGCCTCCTGTATGTCTGTAATGTAACTCAAAAAAAAAAAAAAAATGCAATGAATTTCTGTTGTCAATGTAATACCCACATTTAAAAAAATGTTACATATACCATCTTCGGTCTCTGCAACAGTACTGTCCTCTTTCGCTGCCCATCCACACACGAACTTCACAGATGATGCAGTAAGTCAGTAATATTACAGTAGTCGCACATAACAAATTACCCATGTAAATATTGGCCACAACTACGCACATAAACCGCAATTTCATGAAGAAGAAATTAGTATAACAAATGCAGTCCACGAACCTTTTTATCCATTTGCCCCACATCATCCCAACTCGACAAAGGGCCCCAAAAATCAGCGCAGCTCATGTTGCCACCAAAACCCTTGTGGTCCTGAGGAAAATCGTGTAAAGGAAAACGGAATCTAAGAGTATGAACATGGTTTATATGACTGCATGAGATTAGGATATGTATCATGCATATGAAAAAGAAAAATAAATAGTATTCCAGTTGACCTTTTTAAGGACCGGAGAGATGGGCACGGCAGCATTGTTCGAAGAAAGACGAAGTGACAGAGGAGGAGGATGTTGGCGGAGTATATGAGAAACTCTTTTTAGAGTGAGAAGTATTCAAGATACTATTTTTAAAGAGAGGAGGCTGTTGAGTGGATTTTAGGGCAAACATCACCAGCGGAGGGATCAACAAAAGCGGAGGGGTCAACAAAAGGTTTGGCGTCGTCGCCATGGAGGGTTTTGGCGTCTGCGCAGCGTTCAAGAAAAGGTTTGCCATTGTCATGGGGGCTTTTGATATCTGTGCAGTCATCATCGGGTGGTTCAACAAAAGGGTTGCCATCGCCGCGCAATGGTTTTTAAGGAATGAAGGAGCGCGTATGTTTATGGATGGCGGGAGCAGAGCAATAGCAGACTCAAGAGAGACATATGTTTTGTAAGGTATCAATCTGATGATACCTTGATGCCCAAGGAAACAAAGAAAAGAAACAGAATAACAGGGGAATATAAAGAAGAAAAACGAACTTATAATTACTTGCTGAAGAAGGTCTAATTTGTTAGAAAAACACTTAAGTAAATGTTAAGGTCTAATTTCGTAAGATTTTCATTCGTTTGAAAATTCGCTAGTGACAGTAATTTTGATTCATAAATTACATTTGGACAGGGAGTCTAATAGACTTTTTAGTCCCTAAAGAAAGCATGTTACGTATTGTGGTCAGAGAGTCTAATCGACTTTTTAGGTTCCAATTACCGTTTCTTGCACAAACAAATCAAGAGCAAATCCTTTTAGGTACAACAAAAGGTTGGAATTTTTGTTCCATTCAGATTAATCCTAATCTAATGCATTTGACTAGAATAGAATGCCGACTACATGGCCTAAAAGTTCCTTTGGCCTCTTGATGCTTAAACAAAAAGCAACACATAATTCATCCCTCAGGTGTCGGTTTGTGAATTGTAAGTAGATACATCTTAAATAAGTCCAAACAAAATGAGAGAGAGAGAGAGAGAGAGAGAGAGAGAGAGAGAGAGAGAGAGAGATTCATTCTACTGGCAATACATCTCAAACATGAGATCCTTGTAGCCAGATTGCAAAAGCAATATTGGAGGAACTTCATCTATTCCTGGCCAACCTGTGAGCTTTCTGCTGTTAAAGTAGCTTGTATGTAACGTGCGGTTTCTTGAATTAGATATACCATCTAAGTAAGGATGCACATATTCCAGCTTCAAAGCAAGATCATCCTACAAAAAAAAAAAAAAAATCGCTTCTTATCAATGTTACATTCATTGACATATGCTGCTATTTCAACAAAATTCTGTCTATCAAAAAACACGATCTCCGATACTCTGTATTTTTTCAGTCCACTGAGTCTGTTCAACTGAACAACTCTATTTGCAGTGAGACCATGCTCATCCCATTCTGGAGAGTGGTTTTCATCTGCTAGAGCTGCAGGAAACAGCAGCCCTTTTAAAAAATCGTCTTCATCACCCCCACCTCCGTCATCTCCTCCGCCGGATCCACCGCAACCTCTATCCCCACCACCAATGCCGATGAGGGAAGGTTCCTTATCGACGTCTACATCAGATAAAACCCCGGACGCGTCGGAAATGGCTAGTGTCTTAGGAGTAGTTTGTTTTTTTTTTTTAAAAGAGCTGCAGCACCACTTTTGTCTGCGCCCCGCAGACAACGCGCAAACTTTTATCCCCGCAAATTGTTTGTTTTTTCGAAGGGCTAAGATCTAAAAACGTCTGCGTGAAGTCTTCACCACACAGACATGGACCAACCACTTCTAACATCTGCGGGCTTTTAACCTAAAAAAAAACACCGCTACTTCCAGTCGACTCCTCCTTGAACGAACCCATCTTCACCATCGGCGCCTCAACCCACTTCTAACATTTGCGGGCTTTTCTGAACTTTATATAGAGAGTGTTCGAACTTTTATTAGGGTTGCCGAAGCAAATCGCATGAATAATGGAAATGAATCGATTTCTTGTCCTTGTAACCTTTGTAAAAACTTTAAAACGTTTAATTTTATTGGAGAAATAGAGTATCATTTGTTGCAAAATGGTTTTGTGCCTAATTACACTTGTTGGTCAAGACATGGAGAAACACTTGTTGATTGTGGCACATCGTCGATCAATATAAATATTCATAATAGTACATACAACAATGATTCATATGTTGATGAAGATGATCATCATTCAAATGACCCAAATGACAATTTCAATGAAATGTTTGATGACATGGAGACTAAAATGGATGATGTTGAACAAGAAAAGTTACAACGCGTATTTGAAGAAGCGGAAACACCATTATATAGCGGTTCCAAATTTATGAAACTCGATGTGGTATGTAGGTTGATTAACTTAAAGTCGAAAAACGGATGGACTGATAAAAGTTTCACAAGTCTATTAGAGGTTTTGCATGACATTCTTCCGGAAGATAATGTATTACCCATTTCTACATATCAAGCAAAAAAGCTTATGTGTCCGATGGGATTGGAAGTTGAAAGAATACATGCATGTCCAAATAATTGTATGTTGTACAGAAAGGAGTTCGAGATTAAACATAATTGTGTTTTTTGCGATGCATCGAGGTATAAACGGAAAAAAGATTCGGATGAAGTAGATGATGATGTGACGAAAAATGGACCACCGGCTAAAATATTATGGTATCTCCCTATTATACCAAGACTAAAAAGGTTATTTTCAAACGAAAAAGAAGCAAAGTTACTTTGTTGGCATTCGGAAGAACGTGTAACTGACGGAAAACTAAGACATGTTGCAGATTCACCTTAGTGGAGAAATATTGATAAGAAGTATCCTGAATTTGGAAAAGAGATGAGAAACATACGGTTTGGGTTGAGTTCAGACGGGATCAATCCTTTTGGGAACATTAGCAGTCGTCATAGTACGTGGCCGGTTCTTTTATGCATTTACAATCTTCCACCATGGTTATGCATGAAACGAAAATACATTATGATATCGTTGTTGATTCAGGGGCCGAGACAACCTGGTAACGATATTGATGTGTATTTGTCTCCTTTGATTGATGACTTAAAAACTCTTTGGAGTTCGGGTGTAGATGTATATGATGCTTATAAGAAACAACACTTTCAATTGCGGACCATGATTTTTTGTACTATAAGTGATTTTCTAGCATACGGTAACTTGTCAGGATACAAAACAAAGGGTAAGAAAGCTTGTCCAGTTTGTGAAGATCAAACAAGCTCAATATGGTTAACAAATTCCAAAAAAAATGTATACATGGGACATCGAAGATTTCTTCCTAAGGGTCACCGTTTTAGGAAGAAAACTATTGAGTTTGACGGAAGTATTGAGATCAGAACGATGAGGAAACGATTTGATGCATTTGCACGAGTTGCAAGTTTAAATGTTGTGTTGGGAAAAAGATTTCGTGTTGATAAAAATGCCCTTTGGAAAAAAAAAAAGTCAATTTTTTTTAATTGCCTTACTGGAGATATTTGGATGTTAGACATTGTCTAGATGTTATGCATATAGAAAAAAATGTATGTGAGAGCTTGGTATGCTTATTATTAGAGATGAAGCATAAAATTAAAGAGGTTAATGCCCGAAAGGACATGGCTGAGATGGGGATATGTGAAGATCTTGCCCCCGAACAGAGTGCTAACGGTGTTTATCTCCCACCTGCTTGTTATACTACATCAAAAGAAGAAAAAATAAAGTTTTTTCAATGTTTACATGATATTAAGGTCCTATCAACTTATTATGCAAACATTAAAAGATTTGTGTCGATGAAAGACTGTAAATTGTTTGGAATGAAGTCTCATGATTGTCATGTTTTGATGACACATATGATTCCTATCGCAATTCGTGGAATTTTACAAGATGATGTCCGACATTATATCACTAAGCTTTGTTTGTTTTTTAACAACATTCACTCAAAGGTTATTGATGTAGAAGATTTGGATCAATGGGAGAAAGACGTTTATGTTACACTTTGTGAACTAGAGATGCACTTTCCACCCTCATTTTTTGATATAATGGTTCACCTCATATCTCATATCGTACAAGAAATTAAGGCTTGTGGTCCTGTATTCTTACGATACATGTACCCTTTTGAAAGATACATGGGTATCCTAAAAGGTTACGTAAGAAACCGTAATCGGCCAGAGGGCAGTATTGTTGAAGGGTATACTTGTGAAGAGGTTATTGAGTTCTGCCAAGGTAATCCTATTAATAATATATTACAGTTATAACAATCTATAATATTTTATATATAATATTAATATTTTTTGTAGGCTATATGAAAGATGTCGAAAGTGTTGGTGTTCCAAAAACTCGTCATTCAGGTCGACTTGAAGGAAAGGGAGGAGTCGGTTGCAAAATAAACATGCCAACTTATGAAGAGTTACAAGTTGCACATTTAGTGGTCCTAAAACACATGAAATGTCTTACTCCTTACGTTGATGAACACATGGACATGTTAAAGTTGAAATACCCGGGTAAGGAAAAAATGTGGTACATAAACAATCATAACAAAGAGTTTTCGAGTTGGCTGGAAAAGAAGGTAGCAGAAACGGATGTTGATGAAACCGTGAAAAGGTTGGGACGTGGGCCAGATTGTAGAGTTAAATCTTATCAAGGGTACGACATTAACGGTTATACATTTTACACCAAAGATCAAGATGAAAAAAGTACAATGCAGAATAGTGGAGTTACAATGATAGCATCAACGACCGAATTCGATAGACGGGATCATGATACTTTGATAAGAATAGCCAAAGATTCTTATTACGGTGTTATACACAAAATTTGGGAGTTGAATTATTATGACTTCATTATTCCTGTGTTCAAATGTAAATGGGTGAATAATGGTACAGGTGTTCAAGTTGATAAAGATGCTTTTACACTTGTTGACCTTTCAAGTAATGGCTATGTATCTGAGCCATTCGTTCTCGCAAAACATGTCACACGGGTTTTCTATAT